TTCCCTCCACATCATCTTAATTACTACCTGCTTTAGTTCTTTGATTTTTCATCTCTTTCAACTATACCTTTTTTTTCCATTTCCATTTTTAACAGCCCAGTTCAAGCCTTTTTTGCCTCTGCTGAACCTTTTATAGTGTCCTCAACACTGTCTCTTTCTTTCAAGGAACACATATCCATTCCAGAGTCATCTTTCCAAAGCATTGCTTTCACCATACTTTAAAATATTTGTGAGGATTTGCATTTACTGAGCGTCTGACAACACTTGTAGGAGCTATCCATTCATTATTTTGTGTTTGTTTTGCCTTCAGAGGTGTAGCCATATTCTAATATCACGGGAACCAGCCCAGGCAGGGCTGTGTTCGTTGGCAGGAATGCTGGCTACTGGGGGATTACACACACACAAGTTACAGTGTTGTCTTGCTTTGCTTTTTTTTTTTTTTTTTTTTTGACAGTTTCACTCTTGTTGCCCAGGCTGGAGTGCAACGGTGCAATCTTGGCTCACTGCAACCTCCACCTCCCAGGTTCAAGCAATTCTTCTGCCTCAGCCTCCCGAGTAGCTGGGATTACAGGTGCTTGCTACCATGCCCAGCTAATGTTTTGTATTTTTAGTAGAGACGGGGTTTCACCATGTTAGCCAGGTTGATCTTAAACTCCTGAGCTCAAGTACTCCACCTACCTCGGGCTCCCAAAGTGCTGGGATTACAGGTATGAGCTACCACTCCCCAGCCAAGTTACTGGGGTTTCCCCCCCGCCGCCGTAATGTCTCATATTCCGACCAGTGGTATTTTACACTGCTTTCTCTTACATTTTTAAATTTATACTGATATCATTTTAAAAATTGTTGAAATGACTCACTTCTGGAGAATATGTTCAGGGGTGAGTGGGGCTGGGGAACAGCTTTCTCTTCCTGATCCTCCAGCCCATGCCCATCGCCATCTCTTCAGGCCACATTGCTGCCGGCTTCAAGAAATGTTTTATAAGTGAGTGCGGAGAGAGAGAAGGAGGGAGGAAGAGAGAGAAAAGGGGCTGGAACGGGAGAATGCTGTAGGAGAATAGAGGAGGAAAGAATAGCTCTAGCCGGGATAAGGGCACAGAAGAGATTTCACAGAAATGAAGATATTTGAGCTGAGGCAGGAGGATTACTTAAGACCAGGAGTTAGAGATCAGCCTGAGCGATATAGCGAGGCCTCATCTCTACAAAAATTTAAAAATTTGGCTAGGCGCGGTGGCCCACACCTGTAATCCCAGCACTTTGGGAGGCTGAGGTTGGTGGATCACGAGGTCAGGAGTTTGAGACCAGCCTGGCCAACATGGTGAAACCCCATCTCTACTAAAAATACAAAAATTAGCTGGGCGTGGTGGTGCGTGCCTGTAGTCCTAGCTACTTAGGAGCCTGAGATGGCAGGATTGCTTGAGCCTGAAGAAGTCATGGCATAATCATGGCACTGCA